ATGGCAGGATGGCAAGGTGGCCGGGTGGCAGGATGGCAAGGTGGCCGGGTGGCAGGATGGCAAGGGGCAGGTGGCCGCAGGATGGCAGGCAGGGATGGCAAGGTGCCGGGTGGGCAGGATGGAAAGGTGGCGGGTGGCAGGATGCAAGGTGGCAGGATGGCAAGGTGGAGGTGGGGCAAGGTGGCAAGGTGGCAGGATGGCAAGTGGCCGGGTGGCAAGGTGGCAGGATGGCAAGGTGGCCGGGTGGCAGGGGCAAGGTGGCAGGATGGCAAAGGTGGCGGGTGGCAGATGGCAAGGTGGCAAGGTGGCAGGATGGCAGAGTGCGGGGGTGGCAGGGATGGCAAGGTGGGGTGGCAGGATGGCAAGGTGGCCGGGTGGCAGGATGGCAAGGTGGCAGGATTGGCAAAGGATGGCGGCCGGGTGGCAGGATGGCAAGGTGGCAGGATGGCAAGGTGGCCGGGTGGCAGGATGGCAAGGTGGCCGGGTGGCAGGATGGCAAGGTGGCCGGGTGGCAGGATGGCAAGGTGGCCGGGTGGCAGGATGGCAAGGTGGCCGGGGTGGCAGGGATGGCAGGTGGCAGAGGATGGCAAGGTGGCCGGGGTGGCAGGGATTGGTAAGGTGGCCGGGTGGCAGGGATGGCAAGGAGTGGACCAGGATGGCAGCGATCGCAGTGGCCGAGGTGGCAGGAGATGGCAAGGTGGCAAGGTGGCAGGGCGACTGTCGGGGAAGTGAAATGGTGCAGGTAGCCCGCTGCGTTGAGGGCGCTTCTGCCAATTTATAGGTGAATCCACTTAACTCCAGTTCCCCTTCCCCTTCCTCCTCCTCCTCTCGCACTTTTCTCTCATCTTCCCCTTTACGCCCTTCTTAGCCCTGTCCCCTTTCTACATCCCTTGTCCCTTCCCCTTTACTCTTTCACCCTTCCCTATCCCCCTGCCCATCTCCATCCCGCTATTCCATCTCCTCGTCCTTCGCCCTTCCCTCTCCATCCCATCTCCTACCCCCTTCCTTTAGCCCTAAACACTTTCACCCTTTCCTACCCCTTAACCCTCCCTGCTCCCTACCCCCCGCCCCGGGCGCCACCTGAAGGATCCTGTAATTAGTTATGCCAAGCCTCGCCTTTAGCTAGTCGAACCTAAATGAATTAGGATCTGTTGCCACGGCGGGAGCGCGCTGTTCCGTGTTGCGTGGCTTCCTCTCGACTATATTAAGACTGGCGGGATCAAAGCCTCGTGGCTTCGCTCACATATGAGTCTGCTCATTTACATACGGCCGTACGCAAGTATAACGCGCAGCGGTATGTGCACATATGCATGAATACACATATACGTACATATACACAGAAACAGATGCCCTGGCAAACATGGAAACAATGATACACATAAACACACACACACACTTACGGAATTGGGATGAAACAAGGGCCTGCTCCTGCGCCTGTTTATGTGTGCGTGAGTGAGTTAGTAGTGATTTATGAGTGTGTGAGTGCGTGAGTGGAGTGAGTGAGTGATTGTGTGGTGTGTTGCGCGTGTGTGTGTGTGTGTGTGTGTGTGTGTGTGTGTGTGTGTGTGTGTGTGTGTGTGTGTTTGTGTGTGTTGTGTGTGTGTGTGTGTGTGTGGTGAGTGAGTGAATGATTGTGAGTGTGTGTATGTGAGTGCGTGAGTGAGTGAATGATTTTGAGTGTGTGTGTGAGTCTGTATCTGTGTGTGTGCGCGCGCATGTTCATTCATGTGTCCAAACACCCAACGGAAAAGGACCCCCCCCACCCTCCCGTAACTCCAGCAGCGCCGCACACCCGCGGCGCCGCCGCAAATAACCGCCGCTCACCTCATATCCTCCGGTTTTAAATCGACGGAAAGGAGGGGAAATCGGACGAGGGAGGAGGGGGGGGAGAAGGCATTTCTACAGCACTCGAAGATAACATCAATTCTTCTTCTCTCTCCTACTCACTTCCCTCCCTCCCTCCCCCTCCCTTCCTCCCTTTTCTTCCTTTTCTTGTCAAGGAAACCAGTGTTTCCAGCGAAGAATTCAGAAGCCTGTCGGGGAGGGGAGGGTTGGGGAGAGGGAGGGTCGAGGAGGAGACGGGGTGGGGAGGGGGATGCAGATGAGAGGGGAGGAGACGAGGGGAGAAGCGAGGGGGGAAGGAAAGGAGTAGAAAGGGTAGATGAGGGGAGAGGCGAGGAAGAGTAGGAGGGGGAGGGTGTAGAGAGAAGGGGCAGAGAGGGGAGGTGGAGATGCGAGGGGAGCTGTGGGGAGAGGAGATAAGATACTTAGAGGGGAGAGGAGAAGCAGGGCAGGCATGATGGAACATAATGGGGAAGACCATGAGCTTCCAAACCTTTCCTTCTCCCATTTCCCTCTCCCACACTTGCCCTCTTCCCCCCCCCTCCCCATCTTTCCTTCTTCCCATTTTCCCCCCTTCCCCACCCTTCCCCTCTTCCCCCCCCCCCCCACTCCACCCCTTCACCTCTTTCCTTCTCCCCTTTGCCCTCCACCCTTCCCCTCTATCCCCCTTCCCACACCTCACCTTTTCCTTCTCCCTTGCCCCCTCCCCACCCTTCACCTCTTTCCTTCTCCCCTTTGCCCCCTCCCACCCTCCCCTCTCCCCTTCCCTTTTACATATTCCTGGAGAATTCTGAGGGAAGTTCCGATATTCATATAGTCGTAAAGTCCTTACTTTCAAAAACGCAGGAAATCGCAGACTTCCTTGGAGGCGGCAGGCTTCGAGAGAGGAGGGGGGGGGTCGGAATGGGAGGAGGGGAAGAAGGAGGAAGAGGGGGAGGAAGGAGAGAGGTAAGGAGGGCAAGAAAGGAAGGAAGGAAGGAAGGGGAAGAAGGAGAGAGGTAAGGAGGGCAAGAAAGGAAGGAAGGAAGGGAAGGAAGGAGGAAGAGGGGGAGGAAGGAGAGAGGTAAGGGGGGAAAGAAAGGAAAGAAGGGGAAGAAGGAGGAAGAGGGAGAGGAAGGAGAGAGGTAAGGAGGGGAAGAAGGAGGAAGGAGGGCAAGAAAGGAAGGGGAGGAAGGAGAGAGGTAAGGAGGGGAAGGACGGAAGGAAGGAAGGGAAGGACGGAGAGCGTGGGAAAAAAACAAGGAAGGAGAGAGGAAGGGAAAATAACGGGAAGGAAGTTGAAAGATGTAGGAAGGACGAGGGGCGAAGGGGGAAATGGGAAGGAAGGGAAATATGAAGATAGAGGAGGGAAGAAGAGAGGTAAGGAGAGAAAGGAACGAAGGAAGGGAAGGAGAGGGGGGGGGGGCAACAGGAAGGAAAGAAAATAGGAAAGACGGGAAGAAAAGGAGGAAGGGAAAGAAAGAAAGGGACCAAAAGAAGGATGGAAAGGCAAGGAAAAAAGGAAGAAGGAAAGGAGGGGAACTCGAAGAGGAAGTGAACAAAGGAGAAAGGAAGGGGAGAGGGGAGAAGGGGAAGGAAGGAAGGAAAAAAGGGAGAGGGAAGAAAGGGAAGAAGGAAGGAAGAAAAGGGAGAGGGAAGGAAGAAAAGGAAGAAGGAAGGAAGTAGCAGGAGAGGGAAGGGAGGGAAGAAAAGAAGGAAGAAAGAAAGGGGAGAGGGAAGAAAGGAAGATGGAAGGAAGAAAAGGGAGAGGGAAGGGAGGGAAGAAGGAAGGAAGAAAGGGAAGAGGGAAGGGAGTGAAGAAAGGAAGAAGGAAGGAAACAAAGGGAGAGGGAAGGGAGGGAAGAAAGGAAGAGGAAAAGGAAGCAAAGGGAGAGGGAAGGGAGGGAAGAAGGAAGAAAGAAAAGGGAGAGGGAAGGGAAGGAAAAGGAAGAAAAGGGAGAGGGAAGGGAGGGGAGAAGGAAGAAGGAAGAGAGCATCATCAAAACGGACGACTTGTTTTTCTATTCAGCAGATAAGTTCAATACGAAGTAATAATAACATCAGCAATAAATAGATCTTTAATCTCCATTTCGTTTCTTTTCCATTTCACTTTCTCCTTCTCCTTCCCTCTCTCTTTCCTTCCATTCCCTTCTTCATCTCCTCTTCCTCTCCTCCTTCCCTTTCTCCATCTCCTCTTCCTCTCCCTCTTCCTCCTTTCTCCATCTCCTCTTCCTCTCCCTCTTTCCATTCCTTTCTCCATCTCCTCTTCCTCTCCCTCCTTCCATTCTTCCATGCGATTAAATATCCACAAGGTCTACTTTCTCCCCTCCCACCTATTCCCTCTTTTCCATCTTCTCTCCACCTAAGCCTCTAATTAATTAATTCCTTCTCCGCATCCCTTCTCTCTCTCTCTCTCTCTCTTTCTCTCTGTTTCCCTCTCTCTCTTTCTCACTGTCTCTCTCTCTTTTTCTCTCTGTCTCCCCCTCTCACTTTCTCTCTGTCTCCCTCTCTCTCTTTCTCTCTGTCTCCCCCCTCCTCTCTCTGTCCCCCCCCTCTCTCTCTCTCTCTGTCTCCCTCTTTCTCTCTCTCTCTCTCTCTATGCTTCTCCCTCTCTCTCTCTGTCTCTCTTCTCTCTACTCTCTCTCTCTCTCTCTCTCTCTCTCTCTCTCCTCTCTCTCTCTCCTCTCTCTCTCTCTCTCTCTCTCTCTTCTCTCTCTCCCTCTCTCCTCTCTCTCTGTATCCCCCCTCCTCTCTCTCCTGTCTCCCTCTTCTCTCTCTCTTCTCTCTATGCCTTCCCCTCCCCTCTTCTTTCTTCTGTTTTTTTCCCTCTCTCCTCTCTCTCTCTTTTTCTCTCCTCTCTCTCTCCTCTCTCTCTCCTCTCTCTCCTCTCTTCTCCCCAGTCTCTTCTTCTCCTCATCTNTATGTATATATGTATATATATATATGTTATGTATATGTATATGTATATATATGTGTGTATATATATGTATATATTTGTGTGTATTATATATGTAATGTGTGTATATAATATGTGTGTATATATATATGTATATATTGTATATAATGTATATATGTGTATATATGTGTGTATATATATGTATATATATGTATATATGTGTATATAAATGTATATATGTGTGTATATATGTATATATGTGTATATATATATGTGTGTATATATATATATGTGTGTTATATATGTATATATGTGTGTATATATATGTATATATGTGTATATATATGTAATAATATGTGTGTGGATATACGTATGTATATATGTGTGTATATATATGTATATATGTTGTGTGTATATATATGTTATATGTATGTTAATGTATGTATGTAATGTATATATATAGTATATGTATATATATATATATATATATATATATATATATATATATATGTATATATTATAAATGAGTATGTATATGTATATGTAGTATGTATGTATATATAAATGTATATGTATGTAATGTATGTGTATATATAAATGTATATGTATGTATGTATGTATGTATGTGTATATATAAATGTATATGTATATATATGTATGTATGTGTGTATATATAATGTATGTATGTGGTATGTATATGTATATATATGTATGTGTATATATAAATGTATATGTATGTATGTATGTGTATATATAAATGTATATATATGTATGTATGTGTATATTATGTATGTATGTATGTATGTATATATATATAATATATATATATGTATATAAGTATGTATATATATATATATATATATATATATATATATATATATATATATATATATATAGAGAGAGAGAGAGAGAGAGAGAGAGAGAAGAGAAAGAAAGCAGAAAGAAAAGAGAAAGAGAAAGAGAAAGAAAAGAGAAAGAGAGAAAGAGAGAGAGAGAGAGAGAGAGAGAGAGAGAG